TAAAATTTAAATATTGTTAAAATAAACAAGAAATTGTTTTGTAATAAGTTAAGCTTAATTAAAAGTTGTCTTTTAATAACCTAAAAAAATGATTTTAGTTAAGTTTTAAGTTTTATTTATTGAAAGTACCAATACTTTTTCTTTTATTTTAGAGTAACTTTTAATAACAACTATATTTTTTAAAATTATTATAGTGTGATAGTAACACTTTCGATGTTGTCAGACAATATTTTTTCTGAATTATATTCTTAGAGTAGTTCGCATTTTCCATTAGTAGAGTAGCATTGATAAAGGTTTATAAGTTTTTTTAGTCATTGACAGATAATTAATGAAAATTTATATTTTTTCCAAATTGATATCATCATATTTCAAAAAAAAAAAAAAAATTATCAACTAATAAAATTAGTGGTTAAAAAAATTTTCATTTAATTAAAAATAATACATATCAAAGTTAGCCCAAAACAGTTATCAAAATTACTTTACACCAAAAAATATTTCATTTAATTTAAAATAAAAGATGATTCATATATGTTTTTTACTTACCTATGTGAAATAATGTATTTAAGCAAAAAAATAACGAATTGTCATTTCGATGTCCCGAAGATTTTAAACATCGCGTTGAACCTCTGCGTCTATCTGTGAGTGTTAATTTACTGAGTACGAATCTTAAATGATGTTGTGCTGTCACCGAATGTTGATATTCATATACTTATATAGTCGTATAATATAGTGTTTATTCGATGATTTTCATGGTGCCGTGTACATATTTACTTAGATTTGGTATTGTTGCTTCAGTAATGGCGTGTATAAATCTCGTTTGAATCGATTTTTTGTTTTAGTAATTCGCCATATTATTATTCCGCATACGTATAATGAGATTTGAAATATAATATAATTATAATATGTTTAAATAGTTGAAAAAAAATCATAAAAACTATTGTTATTACTTAATATATTTGGGTACAATAATATATAATATAAATGCGCGACATATTATTATGGTATTTATAAAACTGTTGTCGACTTATCACAAATCCTATTTGTTTCAGTAATTTACTAAACAGGGCATGAGCTCTTAAAATATTTTTTTTATCGGATCCCCAAAATTGCAATTTTGGCACTAAATTATTAACTGGTACATAAATATTGTTATCTATACACTACAATGGACCAACCCAATTAAAAATATTAGAGTGAAAAGAATGATTATTATTACTATTATTATTGAAAATACAATATTTTCAGTAGGTGCTATTAAATACGCATAAATTTAAGTTATAATTGTTTTCATTGCTAATAGTAATTCCTTATTTTTTCAATTTATAGTTTATAGATTATCTATGGTATTTTTAATGTTTAATTTACGATCGGATTCTGATGGAGCCTGATACATTCAATTTCATCATAATGGATTCGATCTGGACTAATTTTCCAAAGGAAACCGTCATGTGTGTGGTTAGGAAAATGGACGCCATAATCCATAAGACGGCAAATGGGAACAATTAATTTAATTAAAAGATGCGAGCCCTTGAAAAACCAATTTAAGGGAGACTATATTGTATTTATTCTCAAACTAAAAACTTTTAACACGTATATTTGTACAGGAAAAATATAAATTATAATTTATTTTTATAAATTTAAATTCTCTAGTGGCAATTATCTGTTGTCGTTATAACATCAATACCTGTGAGTATTCATTAAAATTCATTATTTAAAGATTTGAATAAATATCTGTATTTAAATGTATTCATGTTTTAGTGTTTTAATAGTAAAATATAGCCTGTAATATGATAAAACAGCTCTATTGTATTATGATATTATTCATCAATGGTTGTAAGTTACAAAAAATAAAGAAATTGTGTCTGACAAGTGGGTACCGCTCTGCTGTATACTAGGTTTCGAGTGGGTCAATGATACATCATTGTATCCGAAAAACAATTTTGACCGGAGACAGTTTCTCACTTACATAATCGAGTTTATTTCGTGATATGTTTTTTTAATTTAGTTATTAAAGCTATTTATTTTACTTTAATGCTATTAAGGTAGGTTGATGTTATTTTTTTCGTGGATAATATAGTATATAATTATTATAATAATATACACTTATACAATATTTTATACATTTATATAACTCGAAATTTAATTTTATCTATTTCTAAATATCGTAAAACAGCAAAAATTTATAATTCCTAAAAATAAATGAAAAATTTTATTGCGTATTTTAAAATTCATAATATAGTATACTTAAAAGTAACGTATTTTAAACATTTATTACTATGAATATTTTTATATTTTAACAAAATAATTAACATTGTAATTTAATGTTTAATTTAATTTTAATTTGAACTTAACATATCTATAAAAATAATTGCTTTTATATATTTAATAGATTTTATGGTTCAAGTACGAAATACGAGAAATCTTGTATTAAGTTTACAAAACTTAAATAGAAAAAAATAAGTCTTAAAGAATTTTAAAACTATAAAATAGTTTGAAACGTTGACGAATTTCTAACTTTAAATGCATATAAAAAACATTGTTTTTATGTAATTTAATATTTTTCTGTAGATAAAAGAACAAATTTTATAGGATCATGAATTACATTTTCAAGAATTTTGACCTCGCAAAAAATTCTTTGTCTACATTTATGGAAAAAAAAAACTAAAAATAATTGAAGATTTTTCATGTCTATAAATAGCTTAAAAAGAAGTAAAAACTTCGAAAATTATTTGTATTGAAAATGATAATATAAACATAAAAATAAATATACGAATACCTAGTAACAACAGCAAACAACTACGAAAAAAACAGTGATATTGAAGGGAACGAGAAAGTTCACGAATTGGTAAAATTTGCAGCAAATAATGAACTAATAGAAACAAACTTAAAATACAGTACCTATGAAAACATTCTTAAATCAATAAACATAGCAATTGTAACAAAATGGTCAAATAAATGGAAAAGAAACTAAACTAAATGAAATCAGACTAACGACTGAGAGCTGAAAAAATACAAACAATCTTACCGGAAAAGAAGAAGTAAATTTAATACTTCTAAGAATAGAACACACTCGATTCAGTCGTAAATACCTAATAAAAAAATAGAAAGAAACCATTTGTTCAACTTATGGAATTCTGCTTACAGTGAAATACCTCCTCGTTGAATGCAGACAAACAGAAACAGAATAACATCACCAAGTTTCTCAACTAGTTTCTGGGCTAAGACGAGTTATCCATCAAAAACACACCTAGATTTATGTATTAAAATAATATTAATAACATTTTATAAAAAAATTTTCAGTAGCATTTAAATAATATTTTTAGTAGCACTACACGTAAATAAAACATAAATAAAATGTTAGCCAATGGCCGAACAGCAAAAACTTAATATTCGATAAAAAAAATAAAATGTAAATATATGGTGAAAGTTTCAAGTATCTATATTGTTATTTTTTTGAAATACAATAATACATTGAAAATAGTTTGAGGATAAATAAGTATTTTACGGATGAATAAAGAATGTTTAAAAATTTGAATTTAAAATGCTCATTAAAAACTTATTTGGCTTTTTGATAAAATTTTTGTTTGATAAATAGGTTGAAAAATCTTGTGTTAATTTTTCAAATTGTACCTATGTATAAAAATAAAATTTTTTATGAATTTCTAAATACAAAATAATTTGTTAATCTTCTCAATTTTTATGAATGTTGTCTAACCTAACGTAACCTTATCTTTGGAAACTTATAAACAATTATTATACTTGATATTTTTTAATTAATTGAGGAGTTTTGTATTCAATTTTCAGGCATTTTTACTCAATGAATAATTTATAAAAAAAAAAACGAAAAATAAATACAAAATTTCTCATGCCTATAAATAAATTGCTTAAAATTTTCGATTATTTCTTTTAACTTAAAAGAGTAATAATCAAAATATTTATAAAATGATAACATAAATATATAGTAAAAATTGCAAGTATCTGCGGTTATTTGTTTGAGGTAACCAAAAAAACTAAAACGATTTTGTGTAAAAATCTCCAGTTTTCTTTAGTTTTTTTAATAAAAATATTGTTCTTTTGACTCCCTCCAAAATACCAACTAGATCCAATTTTCTATCAATCACCCCCATTTTTAAAAACAAAGCATTTTTACTGTTCCAAAAAATGTTTACAGACACAAAAAAATAATAAAAAAACATACATCATTCTAAAATCAATATATTCATCGTTCCTCACACATTCCAAAACACTGAACACATTTTATTTATTGATTTTATTAATATGATGTTCTCAAAATAAATTATGAATTTATCGCATAATTCATTATCATAATATAATGTAATTCCTAATAATTTTAATTCATATTAAAATTTATTTCGTAGAAATAAAGTGTAAAATATTCTTTATCAGACATAATAATATGCAAAACTCAACAATATATAATCTAATATTAATAAACCTTTATGAAGATTTTTCATTTCTCGTTTATAGAACGATATTTTATATTTATGTTTGATTCTTTAAGAAATATGTTTTTGTTCCGTTTAACTTTTAAAAAAATCTGTTATAACAAAACTAGATTAGACTAAACGAGTACTTTAAATTCGTTTTTAATAGTATTTTTTTTATTGAAATAATACGTATAAAATATTAGAGCATTTTAAGGAAAGTTCCCATTACTTATTTTTTATTTTTTGATCATAATACGTCGTATATTTTCTTTTTAATACCATTAAATTATGAACAGTTTATTAATGCATTAGTATTTTTAGCAATGGTTAATAATAAATGGTTAATAGTAGTTAATAATATCATAATACTGATTGGAAAAAAAAAATTATTTAGTTGGGTTTGATATAAACAACATCATAGTAGTATGTATTGTGTATTCGTAAATAGTAATAATATTACGACGACGCCCGAAAGTTTACGACACTGCTTCGGCGTCATCGGGTTTTACCGCGTTTTATTTTCTGTTCCGGTCGTTCCGATACCCAGCAGTCGCGTGTTAGGGCCCGTTCGTGACGTGTTTCGGCATTTGCGTTATTGTTGGTCCGTGGAAAAATTTCTATTGTAAGTACGATTGTCCGAACATATTTAACTTTGTTTTTATATATTTTTTTTTAATTACTGATGTATTACATTGTTTCATTTCAATAAATTAACTCGAGGGATGAAATATTTAGATTCGGCTATATGACAAAAATATCTAGAACAATACATTTTGATTATCTGCTTTTATTTTTGTCCCAATTTCTGGTACATTCAAATATTTCTACTAGCGTTGTTTTCAATATAACGTTATAACGTTATTAATTAACAAGATTTTTTTTTACAAGTTAACGTTGATAGTGTAAGTGTGTTTATAAAAATATGTAGAGTCTTACATCAAAATAAATATTTTGCGAACAAAAAGAATGTTAAATAATAAAGAAAGATAAACCAACATAAAATTCGTAATTTATTCTAACATATAAATTATAAAATTATGTTGAATCATTTTATATGAAGCATTATTACTTAAGAATATTATAAAAAACTATAGTTTCATCATGTATTGTATTTTATAGATAATGACTTTCGTAAACTTAAACCACGGCGCTGTGAATAGGCAAAACGTATGACTTTTTACTGAAAATATTTAAAAATATTATTTATGTTTTATTGATCGAATTCATCAGTTTATTAGTTAAATTACAGGCGTATTTATTTTTTTATTTTTAGTTGTCTACAACATTTTTTATTGATTATAAAAAAAAGGTTCATGGGGAAAATTTTATTTTTTAGTTAATTGATAATAATTTTGCAAAATTATTTTTATTTTGGTTAACTTTTTCACAAAATTGGTAATTTTTTTATTATAATATTTCATTTGATTTATGATTATCTGATAGTGCTGACATAGAATCCATTGTTTCTGATTTAATGTATAATTCAATATAGGTAAGTAAAGATTGTTTTACAGGAGTTGTGTATAATGTGAGGAATATACTGGAGTCATAATTTGTCCCGGTTTAATGCTAATTTATGTACCTATTTAATTTTAATTTTTGTTTATGTGTTCTTTCATACATCGAATTTATAAAATTTTTTATGAGTTTATCATTTAATTTTATATTTATATTATTTTAATTACTGTAGCTTATTTTATTATCCTTGATTGTGACCGACCAGTAATCATTATTATTTTATTTGTATGTTAGGTTCTGAAAAATCTGAACAAACGGAATACTATATTATATTTATTGAAACTACTCTTACTATAATATTATTGACCTTAAAAGTTTTAAGAGATCTTAGTTTGTGCATAGAAAATAATATTTGTTTGATCTTTAAAGTATACTTGAATGTTCTAAAACTATTGTAATATTTCGAAAAACAGCTAGATGACTGTTGACAAAAGAATTCAGGATATCACGGATCCTTGACTTTTGAAAATAAATACAATGATATAAGTTAAAAGATATATTTTATTATAATTGTTTTTTTTTCACTGAAATTCATTAATTTCATACATATTAATAACGTTTAATAATATTGTATAAAATTAATATGAATACAATATGATGGTTTAAAAAAAATTCTTTAATACGAATTTATAACTATAATAGTAATTAGGAGGTAATCAGGAAATATTGCGGTTGTCAATTTTTTATACCATTATAATCCGTATATATTATAAATATTGATATAGTTTAAGCATATTCTTAAACGTAAAAGTGCGATACTTTACTTATTATATTTTTGGATTTATAGGTGAATAATTTTAGCTTCAAGTAAAATTATATTTAAATTACAATCGTTTCACGAATACAATATTATGTAATGATAAATAGTTCACAACGAAATATTGTAAAAGAAATAATAATTAAGTATAATTTCAATATGAAATCGTCAAATATTTGTTTTGTACAATTGTACACTATATGTATATACAACATGTACTTTATATAATTTTGATTCAATAATGCATTTGAAAAGAAACGGTTTAGTGTACTTTTGTTAATAAATAATTTTATTTTTAACTTATATTTTGATAGTTGTATATCCGGTTAACAATTGACTTTTTTTTATTTATTATAATAAACTATTGTGTATGAATAAATAGGTTATTCTACTATTATTCAACAGGTTATGAATATTATACTGGCAAATAAGTACTATGTAGGTAGCTATGGAATACAGAGTTGTTTCATGTGTAATATTTTCAACTTATCAAAAATAAGAATAAATATTTACATTAGTATTATATATATATTATATATATATTATAATTTATGAATATCATGTCAAATGAATTAAAGGATAAACTAAAAACTTATTAAATCAAAAATTTTACTTCAATGTCTTCTTACCAGCTATTTCATGTTTTTATTATTATATTTAATATTCTTTATTTATTGTAATTTATATATCATAGAAAAATATTTCCCATTTGAAAATTAATCTACACAAAATGTGTCACCACTATAAGAAATAACAATTTATATGGGTATTTTGTTGTTGGGTTTTTATTATCATATAATACATTTAATTGATATATAATCATAAAAAATGTTATATTTTCGATGAATATGAAAAATCAATTGTCCAATTCTAATATGACTAGAGTACAATAATCTACTTTCCAACGCTGATAATAAACAATATTGAACCATTAGATTTTATTTTATTGAATGAATAATAGATTAAATGTTGAGCTTCGTATCAATAAATGTAGGGAATAGCTATAAAATAAAGATAATAAATTGTAGTATTCCTTACTCATTTAAGTAGTTCTGAAAAATGTTTTTATTGAGACTATTTTTACGACCTGTCAGCAGGGTATATAATATACTAAGAATAAGGTGTTGGATGAACAATTTATTAGTGTTGTTTAATTATAGTAAAAATGTGTCTCAAAAGTATCTAAAGTTATTGGTTTAATAAAAAAGCCAGTAAAAATATTGTGAATGCTATCATAATTCATAATGTAATAATATTTGATATATTGAGGAACAAAACATATGGCAGATTGTAGGTAAAACAAATATGCTAATCTCTATTTAAATTGTAATAGTGTCCACGACAATATATCGAAAGCAAAAGAGCAAACGATAATATGTGAATGAAAAAGAAAAAAGAAAATAAGTGAATACAAATATTAACGACAACATAAAGAGTGAAAAAAAATATAATATTTTAACATAATTAAAACTCAATATTTTAATTAATACATTTATATATGTATTAACACTATTAACTATAGTTAAAATAAAATGAATACTATTTATCATACTTGTAATGAAGAATTATACGCAATATCTTTTAAATATTGAAGTATTGAGATTTTATATTGATCGTCTGTTGATTTTGAAGGGCTTTCATGAACTTTCAAATCGTTGAATTACATGACCTTGATTGAAGCTTTTATTCCAGCCTAAAACAATTAAGTATGTAATAATATTTATTATATACATATGATTGCAAATTATTAATTAATTTCATAACAATTTCACATTAGAATTGAAAATATTGAATTTTTTTTTCTTGTTTTCGACTTGTTCTGCCTATGTATCTTTAAAAAAGTCTACTATTGGTTGAAGAAAATGTTCATGTTTTTTATTTCCTCTTAGTATTTATTATATAAAAGTTTCTCAAGTGCTTTTTCGACGTCATTTATTGGAACTAACGAAAGTTCTGGTTGTAAGAGAATTTGAATAGAAAAATTTGGGTCATTGATGTATTTTTCATTCATTGAAGTTATAGTATGCAGTTTTCACCAAAAACACTGACTGAGGTGAAAAATGTAACCTTTCGATTTGTGGAAATACTTTTTAAAAAGCATTTTTAGAAGCGATATCAAAATCAGTTAAAATATATTTTTGATTTAAACGATTTTTTTATTTTTTTTAGTAAACGTACAGAAGTAGATGCTCTTTATAGGTTAAAATTGCTAATAATGATGGTATACATCTAAATAGATAGGATTTAAAATAGGTGGAGCTGATTTGAAATGAAAACCAGTGATTAAATTTAAACATCAAATATGCAAAAAATTATAATTTGTTGGTTTGATACATCATAATCATCGATACTGTCGTATAAAATAAATTTTTGATAATAAATGAGTTGATAATTTATATTCATGTGGCAATTAGCGTAAATCATCGATTATTTGAGGATTAGGTGGAGCCAAACAATTCTTTTTTCTCGTTATTCGAATTGTATGTTTCAAATGTGCAATCTGTGGAAGTACACAAAAAACAATTGGAGTTACAGGTGATAACGACTCACTTATGATAACTTCAGGATTATTTTGATTTTAAACGGCACGCTTTTCAATATTTTCAACTACTAATTTTACTTCATTTTAAATTGTATCGGTAACATGATTATGATTGGAAGGGCCTTTAATAATTTCTTCATATTTAATATTCGAACGCTTCTAACATAATTTGTCTATACATCATTAATATTCGACATCCTAATATACTTTTTCTTTAGGATTTAAAAAATTATTTATGTGTAGCAAACTTTTTTCTTGCTATGATTGAGTATACTGAATTTTAACTTACATACGTTAAAACGTTAAGCAGTAAATCAGTATGGGTAAGAAACATATCATAAAAACACAATAGGACAGTTAAAATGACAAATTTAATCTAGGTATGAATACTGTTGTTAAATGATCAGAAACGTAATCTTATTGAATCGTTATCATGGAATTATCGAATTATAAAATATTTTACTGAGTTTAACATAATTAGTAAAAAATATTTAAAGAAGAAAACTTAAATGATGTATTTTCGCTCATATTTTTATTCATTCATTTTGTTTTTGTTCTTTTTCATTCCCACATTAACGTTTGCTTTTTACTTTTGCTCTATTATCAGGATACCATTTTAATAATGCAGTTATTCAAATTTTTATTTTTAGAATTTTTTAGTATACTTAAATATTTATTTTAAAATATTTATAGATTGTACATAATTTAAAGAGTATATTTAAAAGTTTTAAAAATTTAAATTTTAATACATTGACTAAACATTAAAAAAGAAATGATAGAGGGATAGTAAAAATAATTGATTTAT